GTTGTTATTTCTTGGTTGAACAGCAGTATTCCAGGAGCATGAGCTTATAGGCAGACAATAAAGGAAATTCAGTTTTTATCCAAGGAAGTGGGGACTACCTTCAACTGRGTTAGGAGATCAAGTAATCAACAAACAGAATGGCAGATTATATGACTAAACAGGGAATGTATTGAGACACTTGTTTTGCGCTGAACTGTAATTGCTGTTATTGAAAATATGGGTGTCTGGGCACCTATCCAGTACCTTTGCAATCTTACTTATCTTTAACCAATAAAATTTGTTGCTTATCAAAAAAATATCTATTTTATTATTATAATCTCAATAACTAAAAAATATAAGAATATAGTGCCATGTGGAAAATAGCTAGGCACTCAAGTGAGGTGACCCTCCATAGGCATCTTTTCACCTAGGTGCCCACTTAGGCATTGCCTTGACAGTTATGCATGCAACGTGGTTCCACCATGGAGATGGGTGTAGAGAAGTGTACTGGTTCTTCCCAATTGTGAGATCTACACTCTTTTGGGTGGCCAAGCATTGCAAAACCTGGGCGGCCTAGATGGTGCCTATTTGTAGATTGGAATGCATTTAGTACTTGGTCTTGTTTGAAATAAATGGTTCTTGACCTGTTTAATGGGGCATCACAAGCTTCCTGCACATGTTTACTTTTGTAACACTGGTGTGGAGAGTAGCTTCTTTTGTCTTTACACAATAATTCAACTTTGTCATTAAGTTGCGGCTCAAAGTTAGTTTATGAGTAAAGTGCATTGGTGTTTTAATTTGAGGATCCCAGAAGCTGATCTATTGGGTTTTAGAAGTTTTGACTGGGCGATGAAGATTTCATTGAAAATTTATTGGGGTTTTCTGGGCATTGAAGGTTTGCACAAAGATTTCATTGTCACATATTGACATGGTAATAATGAAATTCAGTTTCAACGTTCGATGAAAAAGCCCAACATGGACGGATCAAATGCCACATTTATCACTTTGATTCCAAAGAAGAGGGAGGCCAAAACTCCTAAAGACTTTAGACCAATAAGTCTCATTGGGAGTGTTTACAAAATTCTGTCAAAGGTCTTAGCAGAAAGACTAAAAAAGGTGTTACCCTCGATCATCTCTCCTTTCCAAGGAGCTTTTGTAGAAGGAAGGCAAATTGTGGATTAAATCTTAG